TTAATGCCTTTAATTTAGTCAACTAATACTTTAACATCTGTAATGTAGTCATCAACTACTACTTTAACGCCTGTAATGTATTCATCAACTTATACTTTAACCCCTGTAATGTAGCCATCAACTAATACTTTAACACATGTAATGTAGTCATCAACTGATACTTTAATGCCTTTAATTTAGTCAACTAATACTTTAACACCGGTAATGTAGTCATCAACTAAGACTTTAACACCTATAATGTAGTCATCAACTAATCCTTTAACACCTGTAATGTAGTCAACAACTAATACTTTAACGCCTGTACTGTAGTCATCAACTAATACGTTAACACCTGTAATGTAGTCTTCAACTTATACTTTAACACGTGTAATGTAGTCATCAACTAGTACTTTAACACCTGTAATGAAGTCATCAACTAATACTTTTACACTTGTAATGTAGTCATCAACTATTACCTTAACACCTGTAATGTAGTCGTCAACTGATACTTTAACACATGTAATGTTGTCATCAACTAATGCTTTAACGCCTGTAATGTAATCATCAACTAATACTTTAATGCCTGTAATGCAGTCATCAACTAATACTTTTACACTTGTAATGTAGTCATCAACTATTACCTTAACACCTGTAATGTAGTCTTCAACTTATACTTTAACACGTGTAATGTAGTCATCAACTGATTCTTTAACGCCTGTAATGTAATCATCAACTAATACTTTAACGCATGTAATGCAGTCATCAACTGATACTTTAATGCCTTTAATTTAGTCAACTAATACTTTAACACTTGTAATGTAGTCATCAACTGATTCTTTAACGCCTGTAATGTAGTGATCAACTAATACTTTAACACCAGTAATGTAGTCATCAACTAATGCTTTAACGCCGGTAATGTATTCATCAACTAATACTTTAATGCCTGTAATGTAGTAATCAACTAATACTTTAACGCATGTAATGCAGTCATCAACTGATACTTTAACACTTGTAATGTAGTCATCAACTGATACTTTAACACATGTAATGTTGTCATAAACTTATACTTTAATGCCTGTAATGTAGTAATCAACTAATACTTTAACACCTGTTATGTAGTCATCAACTAATACGTTAACACCTGTAATGTAGTAATCAACTAATACTTTAACACCTATAATGTAGTCATCAACTAAGACTTTAACACCTATAATGTAGTCATCAACTAATTCTTTTACACCTGTAATGTAGTCAACAACTAATACTTTAACGCCAGTAATGTAGTCATCAACTATTACCTTAACACCTGTAATGTAGTCATCAACTAATACTTTTACACCTGTAATATAACTTATCAAAATCAGGTTTCAAAAGAGGCTAATCACCTTTTCCCCCCATTTTCCAATCATTTTTAAGAAGGATGTCTATACCAAGAACTTTCCTCCTGAATTTTATAAGATGTTACTATGTGAACCATGTAATACAAGTGGTCTAAATGGACGTTGGTTCTTGCACTACTTCCTTTATATCTGAAAATCTTTAAATTCATGAAATCAGTGAAATTGAAATCCTCTATAATATATATACGCGACTATAAAACTTCACTGGGGCTATACAGTCCACTTGCACGGGAATGTGTTGACTGTTTCTATAACTTCAGTGGAGCTATACATGTAGTCCACTGGCACTGTAATGTGTCGACTGTTTCTTACTTAGTTGCATCACCGATGAGTCCAAGAAGTAATCGAGTACCAAATGTTACAGGTACCATCGGGTGTGTCTTACTCTCGTTCTTTTAGGCAGCTGGGAGCTTATTGAGAAAGTATGTTTGAATTTTTGATTGAACAAACTAGCTCTTAGGTATTTATTCACTAAATATCTAAAAATCAAACTAAAATCTAAGTCATTAAAATGATCTGATAAAAATAAGCTTTAATATTCCAAAACAAGTTCATTTGCAATGATTTAATCAAAGGTGCTGGATACACAAAAACATATAATAAATGTGTTTTCACTATATTGTTGTCTGTTTCTGTATGTTCAGCAAATCTTTCTTCTATTTTATACATCAATATCGTTAATTATTAACAATTATAAAAATCTATCCCTTCCAATATTTTAATTGGAATTCAATTAAACCATAACATATTTTAATTGCATATAATGTATATACAATATACATTTTTAAACATATCACATAAATACATGCATGTTTTGTTTATTAAGATAAACAATAAAATACATCTTCACAATTTTATTAATTTATACCAGGGAATATGGGCCTCAAGGATATACGTTCCCTTCAACAGTAAAACGCATATTCTCCTTGTACGTATTAGTTTCCCATTCTCAATGGAAATAATATGTGTATCACACACAGCAAATGTTAAGTGGAGAAACAAGTCCAAGGGTTCAATATGAATCTTCTCAATTAATCTAAGAAAACACTAATAAATCCATGACATATTTAACTTGTTACAGTTACATCATCTGACAACTGAATTAAACCATTGAAATTCATTAAAATGACCAGGAGTAAAACTGTTTGACAAACATTTTACAAATCAGCAAAACATCAGGCAAACCAGTGAAACATCAGATAAATATGAAACAGACAGGAAAATTAAAAACAAAAACAAAACAAAAATTAAAAGTCATCAGACAAATAAATGAAATGTCCGACGAAGTCATGAAAATCATCAATGCTATGAAACGTCTAGCAAAGCAGTTAAGTTATACATCAAATTGATCCTGTCACCCATTGTCTAACACAGTCTTAACAATACATGTATTTCTGAAATTTTAGAAACACTTCAAAGTACACCGTAGGCATCTGCTTATACTATATGTTAAGAATACTAGATTCAGAATATATCCTTAATGGTAAAAAATTTCCATATACTAAATTACGAATTCCATTTCTTGAAAATTTGTTTCTACCAATCGTTTATCCCATCAAAAAAACAAAAGTATGTGTCTATTACCATTGATTTCAATTTCCTATGGGTGAGTTTTGTATTTTTCTGTGTTTTATACGTCTTATTGTCCTTGCATCAGACAGGATCATTTGAAGGCAACTGCCAAGAGAGACACGGCCAAAAGGAAAGAGACGGAGAAAATAAAGGAATATTACAGGTGAGAATTAGAAAGCTTATAAAGACAGTATACAGTATATACATTTTATTGCATAACAAATCTAGAAGCTTTTATTTTAGCTGCTGGGTTTCTAAAGGATCCCTGTCCAGTCACAGACAAACACAAGAGATGCTGTATTGTTCACCGACATACAGTAATCTCCCCTTAATTTGATTTTCGATACGAATGTGAAGCCTGACTGGGAGAATGTGCAACTATCGTTGACAAGGTACACAGTAGCTCAATCAATTGGTAAGAGTGACAGAGCAATGATTGGAGGTCCAAGGTTTAACGTCAATTGGTTAAGAGTGACAGTACAATGATTGGAGGTTCAGGGTTTAAGGTCAATTGGTTAGAGTGACAGAGCAATGATTGGAGGTTCAGGGTTTAACGTCAATTGGTAAGAGTGACAGTACACTGATTGGAGGTTCAGGGTTTAGGTGCTGGTCTGGCCCACTTGTATTTTACTCTCAGAACACCGTAGTTGCTTCCTTTTCATTCATTTTATCTTGAATATTTTCTTCAGAAATGTTTCGTAAAGTATGATTTTCTGTTCAGATAAAAGATCGACGCTATTAGAATGACAGAAACAAAGTTTCCAAAGCATAGTTACAGCTTTTGGCCGTGGAATTAGGGGATCCTCAATAAAACTGCAAAATTATTGTATAATAAATGGCACATATATACACTTAAAAGCAACCAGAAAACGCCTGATACACCAGCTCAACACTATACCGACTACTCCATGTTACTTGTAAAACCAAGCATTTCACACAGTAATAAAAAAGCACTTTTTTCACCAAGCAATCAGATTATCTATCTTGCAGAACCATGGCAGAAAACTGAAGCCCATATTACAATTTAATTACTGTACTGTACTAAAATCGTGTGATTCTTGAACATAAACAGCTAAGTTGATTTAAGGATATGTCTCCATAAGTAGCATGTACATGCATGTGTGCTAGTGCGGTATGAGCAGGGCTTTAACGAGTATTTTTGGGAAACTTGACGAGATATGGGACAGGATAAAGTAATCTATAAAGCAATTTAAGACCCCCCCCCCCAAAAAAAAGAAGAAACAAGAGGCCCAGAGGGCCTGTATTGCTCACCTGAATAAATTTAAGTAATTGGTATGAAGTAAAGATAAAGCACTCCATGGTAGGTGCTTTAAGTACATATGAAATTTCAGAAAGATCCATCCAGTACTTGAAATGGTCAGAAAAGGGTTTTAAAGGTTTTACCTCTATTTCTCCTATTGGGCCCCGCCCTTCTGCCCCCCTCGGAGACCACACCCACTGCTAATACAAAATGGAGTCCCCTTGGCCCAAGGATGCTCCAGACTAAATTAGGATAAAATCCCTTAATTCCTATGGTAGAAGAAGGATTTTAAAGGTTTTCCCTCTATTTCCCCTATTGGGCCCCGCCCCTCAGGCCCCTGGGGGGCCAGACCCTTGATTTATACAAAATTGTTTCCCCACTACCGAAGGATGCTTCACACCAAATATGGACCAAATCCTTTCATTCCTATAGAAGAAGGGTTTTAAAGAATAATTTGCTCTGTTTCCCCTATTGGGCCGCACCGCTCAAGCACCTGGTGGGCCAGATCCACGGTGTATACAAAACTGGTTCCCCTTCCCCCAAGGATGCTTCTGACCAAATATGAAACAAATCCTTTCATTTCTACAGAACAAGAACGATTTTAAAGAAGTATTTGCTATATTTCCCCTATTGGGCCCCGCCCCTCAGCCCCCTGGGGGGCCAGACCCACCATTTATACAAAATTGGTTCTTCTTCACCCAAGGATGCTCCACACCAAATTTTGTTAAAATCCGCTCAGTGGTTCATGACTAGTAGTGTAAAGTTGATGGACGACAGACGCTGCGGTATGCCATAAGCTCACCTTGGTCCTTCAGACCAGGTGAGCAAAAAAGAAAGAAAGAAAGAAAGAAAAAAACATTACCTTCAACAAAATCAGTGGTCGTATACGAAAGTAACATAGCTTGTTAGTGTACCTGTACATAACAATTAAATATACACTGTATGACTTTTCAGTTCACATAAGATATCTAAATCGTTTGGAGAAGGGGACAAACAAATTAAAAAAAATAACTAGATACCATATACCTATACTGTTAATTGTTTTATAGAATGTGTTAAAATTTTGAGCTTTTTCCTCAAAACAAATCAGTAAGTGAAGATATGAAATCCTGGAAAATTTATTTTACAGAATGAAAGATGATGATTACAGAATTCTAAGTATATATGTATAGTTTAAGTTTATAAGAAGACATGAAATTCATAATTTAGGACCGACTTTAAATATAATTACAGAATTTTTAATTATCTGTGTTGAACTTTAACCTATGGTGTGTCTTCTTTAGAACTGAGAGCTACGTATATTTAATTAATTTAACTTGCACCACTAATCTACAACAACCACAGGGAGGAAAGGTTCGTATTCACTTCTTCAATCATCTCCCTAGTAAACCACAACCTACAATAAAAGTGTACATTTTCACATCGTTTTTTCTTAACAATTGCAAACAATTCATGATGTAAAACTTTCCACAATCATTTCGCTGTGTTTTAACATTGCCCTGTCAGCAATGTGATACGGTTATCAAGTCCCCAGTTAGTTCAAATGGTTGTAACAATAAAAATAAATACAAACATTAATTCATACTTAAGTTATCTACAGCAAACTTAACATACAGCAATGTTTAGGCATGCATTAAAGTCCATGCATTGTCGGATATTTTTGACGTTGAGCTGTCTTGCCCAGGTGGGTTTTTTAAAACAATAATTTCCTATTAAGAGTAATAGGCTGCAGGCCCGTTCTGATCAATAACACCAGCCCACCTATATTTTCATAACAGCACTGACAGTTTTCACAAGCCCTCAAAGTAGAATTTGTACACCCTTGGTTACTGAAGTCTGATTTAGACCAAATATAAACTTACAAGAACAAGCAAATATTTCTGATCTTGTCTTTACTGTTTAACTTGTACTTAACACAAATGCCGAGTAAAAACATGTATCCTGTGAAAGAGGGAAAATTCCACTAAGTAATTCAACTTAAAAAGCTGAGGTTAGATGCATTACGAGGTGCATTTGTCAACTGCTATCTGTTTAGCTATTAATTTGGCACCGGAAATATCCATGATGCAATTTTTAATACTATATTAGGTTCAAGATGACAGTTCATCATTTATGGTTCCATCACCAATGCACAACACATTTTTAACCGTTCCAACCCTAGTTATTGTACTAATAAAAATATTTTGTGTGAAAAAAACACCTTTCACAGCATATTAAGAAATGACTTTGTGATACAATCTACACTTAAAATGTCCACCTTGGTATAACCTATACGAAGAGTTGGCTCCCTTCTCCAACCTCTACTAAGAGTTGACGGCCGCCACTTGCTGAGGAGGAGTCACCAGGTACTCCTGTCCCGTGACGCATGGCACCTCAGAAATGAAGGACCCCCCTGCTGGGCTGCTGGTTGCCATGGTGATAGAAGTATGAACAGATTGAACATCACCACTGTCCTTCAACAAGTCTTTTGTCTTCTCATCACTGGACGAATTGTCAAATTGTGGAGAGTTATTGCGCATAGTGATATCGGTGGTGGTACTGACCACACTACTTACAGGCGTGATATTGGCTTCTGTGGACAAAATGCATAGAGATTTCTGCTCTCCTTTTCCAGCAGTTGGTGTTTTTAAGCTAGTGAAACCTTCCAATCCACATTCAAATCCAGACAAATCTGATTTAGTCAATGAAGGTGACGTATCCATGCTGGTAATCTGTGGAGAAAGGGGGAAAGCTGCATTTTCTAAACCAATCATTTGTGATGTAAGGAGATTAACCGCTGAATCTGTGCTGATTTGTTGTGTAGGAGCAGAAACTGCTGCTGAGTTACATAGTAATTCAATATAATTTTCTTGAGAGTCTATCGGGCAATGAACAGTCCCACAGCTACTGTCCACCACATTGCCTGATGCAGCATCCTTCCTGTCAACCAGCGACACGAGAATGTTGTCAATCATATTGCACGCACTCAGAGTGTTTCCATTCAGTGTGTTTGTATTTTCACTAAACTTGTCGACTGACCTCTGACCTGCATCAGTATTTATACTTTGCTTTTGGTCAGTTGTCTCCGACATGTCAGATTTTATCACATCCAGCTTTGGATCAAAGTTTGAGTTTGGAGTTGGTCTATCTCCAGGTTCAGCTTGTATTAGACTTGCTTCAGTTTTCTTGACTGTGTTTGATACCTCAACCTTTATTTTTTCTGAAATGAAATAATTCACAATCCTGAATATTGTGTTCAGATATAGATAAATAATAACAGCAATGAAGGTTATAGTTTTCTTCATAAAACAATATCGAAAATAATGGTTCTGTAATTATTGAGGAATGTGAGGAGGTGGAGAGAGAGTGGACAAGATTTAATCTAAATTACTGCATACTTCCTACCTCTCAAGTTAAAAATGGTAGTTTACTGATTGAAAAACAAACAAACAAAATTAATGAGANTGAGCAGTACCTACCATCTGTGTTTTGTGCTGGCTGGACTAATTGGTGATGAGTGACAGAGTGTTTGTGAGCAGTACGTACCATCTGTGTTTTGTGCTGGCCGGACTAATTGGAGATGAGTGACAGAGTGTTTGTGAGCAGTACCTACCATCTGTGTTCTGTGCTGGGCGGACTAATTGGAGATGAGTGACAGTGTTTGTGAGCAGTACCTACCATCTGTGTTTTGTGCTGGCTGGACTAATTGGTGATGAGTGACAGAGTGTTTGTGAGCAGTACGTACCATCTGTGTTTTGTGCTGGCCGGACTAATTGGAGATGAGTGACAGAGTGTTTGTGAGCAGTACCTACCATCTGTGTTCTGTGCTGGGCGGACTAATTGGAGATGAGTGACAGTGTTTGTGAGCAGTACCTACCATCTGTGTTTTGTGCTGGCTGGACTAATTGGTGATGAGTGACAGAGTGTTTGTGAGCAGTACGTACCATCTGTGTGTTGTGCTGGCCGGACTAATTGGTGATGAGTGACAGAGTGTTTGTGAGCAGTACGTACCATATGTGTTTTGTGCTGGCCGGACTAATTGGAGATGAGTGACAGAGTGTTTGCGAGCCTTGCGTCGCTGACTTCCAGTCACTGGCTCAGCCTGTTTGTTTTGTTTGAGGTGAGGGGGAACAGTCAACACTACTTCAGGCACCGGAGCCACACCTGTCAATCATAAACACAACGTTCAATAAACAACAACTTAGCAACACACTGATATAATGTCATTTTATAAATTACCTTTGATTGGTCAGTCAGTATACCATGTGTCAGTAATATTCCTCAACACGATGTTGCTGTTAACTGGTAATTGTTTATTCCGGTTATATTGTTTTGTTGAAGAGTGCACAAACTTTATGGAATAATATTACAAGAGGTCCAAGGGGCCTGAAGATGATCACCCAATGCAAGTGGCCTTCCATTTTGTAAACTATATAGCAGTTCATTTCAACATGTTACTGGCCAAGTTTCACAACTGTAAACCTTTTGGTTCTTTAGAAGTAGTCATTTGGGTGTTTAAGCAAACTTGATACCTTTGACCTTAACTATGGGTCATGATATTTACTTTTAAACTATGCAGCACTCCATGCCAGCAAGCTACTGATTCTATATGATTCTATGCCATTTGATTCCTCATAAATCCTTTAAGCAAATAAGCAAATCTGACCCAGTCATTTGAGATTTTTACAAAATTTCTGACTTTTGTGACCTTGAATATTGGTCAAGATATTTTTTAAACTGTGTGCTATGCTATTCCATGTAAATTATAAACACACTACTTAAAAAGGATTATTCACTTATTAATACCATACATAAACTAGACAAATATTGGGTCTTCCTGAGACAATCTACCTGGAAGTGAGCCATTGGTTTCTATCATACCAGAAGATCGCCCACAGCTTTCACTCATTGAGCGGACTTTCCCGGCTGGACGTTTGGAGTTCCGCGACACCTTCTCCAGGGAACAAGCTGGCAGAGTGGCGATGTGAGCCTCCAAGTCAAAATCACTGCAAATCAAGGAAATATAAAGGCTTTTTATCATTTGTATAATGTCACCCAGCAGGAAAACCCAATACTAATTATAAAACAAGAGGCCCATGGGCCTTAACGCTCACCTGAGTCCTACAGCATTAATTTTTGTTGTTGAAATATGAAGCGGCAATAATGTCAATCATCCCTACCAAAATTTGAGTAAACAAAAGTTAAGTAAAACTTTAAGTTAAGTTTGTCAGGACAATGAGTTGATCATTCCTAGACCGAGTTTCAGTTAATTCAGCCTATTAGAACTTGATTTTAAGTTTTAAATAAAAAAAATCCAAAATGGCAGCCGTATTGAATTTTTGATGGACCTGAAAAAAATAAAAAAATAAATGCCAGGACCATGAGTCGATCATTCCTACCAAGTTTCATTAAAATGGGCACAGTAAAACTTGACTTTAAGTTTGAAATAGTTTTTCAAAATGGCCAGCCCTGGTGGCCATATTGGATTTCTGATCGACCCGAAAAAATAACAACACTTGGTCAGGGAGTTGTCAGCAACATCCCATGAAGTATCAATGAAATCCCTTTGGCAGTATTTCAGCTTAAGTTAAAAACGTTCGACCCAAACCCAGCAGGAAACATTATTATGGGCTAAAGCTCATGTGACCTAAAAAGTAGACCGCAACAGTAGAACTATCAGTTTTAATGGAAATAGTATCACAATAGTCATAATTGACAGCGAGTCACACATAGGAGGGATAAGTTGGGTGACTATATAATGGATGACAGGCAACATACTCTCCGTCGTTACTGTTTTGTACTTTCATTTACCTACATGTACATTTCTGTACCTAAAACTCACAAACAGGTTCACCAAAATGGCCTTTCATCATTTCTTGTGCATATTTGATAGAACTGTTCCGAGGAAGTAAAGGGATCTTTCATCCTACACTCCATTTCAGATGTATAATTTCACAAAGGATAACAAATAATGTTATGTCACGAAATCAGGAAAATTTTGATACCTTGTTGTAGAAACTGCTGGCTAGGTGAAAAACCAAAAATATTTTATAAGGCCAACCAAGGGTAGGTAGGTCAAATTTTCTTATTTATTTTTTGCATATTTTTGTGTACCGTGTGGTCATGTGATTATGACCCTGCTATTGTATGTAACACAAAGAATTGCATAAACAAGGTCCATTTGGAGGCAAATTGTGCTCCATATGCTGACATTTAGCACCAACATGGAGCAGGAAGCCATTTTGAAAGCCTTCTAAAATTTGAAAATCAGCGTTTTTTCCCAAAAAAAAAAAAAAAAAATCTTTTGGGTCAGGTAGAAAAAGCTAGGGTCGGTCGGGAACCCTAAACAGACATATATATTGTTTTGGCCTAAGCTGTAGAATCAAGAAAGGCAGGATTTTTTTCTCTCCGTCAACGAATTTTCTGCAAATCGGATAGTTAAATCTTAATGACTGGTATGTTTTTGTCTTTATTGCCTGGAGAAAAGTTAGCCAGTCAAAAAATGCTTTTTCGTGGTTTAAAATTCTGATTTTCATAATTTGAAAAGTAATCAGGTAGTCTTTCACTATGTTTTTGACCTCTGGACATGAAAAGAGTAATTAAAGTCTTTTATACAGAGAATATATTTGTTCAAATTTTCACAAATCCCCATGCCTTGTAATATTTATTTCATGGAAAAATTCATGACTGATTTTACAAATGCGTAACTTAAGCGTGACCTTACCCAGTTTTGTACCGTTGGATGTCTTCCTGAAGAGAGCGAGTTTTCTCCGATTCCGAACACGTTCGTTTGCGGATCTGTCTGGGGTACACCGACAGAACGTCAAACCCAAGATCCCCTAGAGGTCTGGGAACCACTTCCTCCTCACTGCTGTTAACACACACATTACATAAGTTATTTTAATACCGTAAATTTGGAAAACATTCATCATTTGCAGAAAATTTTCTAATTCCTCCTGGAAATGAAGTTGAATATTAACTTATAAACATTGATGGTACTATAAAGTCAAACTTCCATGAATCGACCTTAGAAGATTCAAACTTTTCGATGTGACAAAGTCCAGAATTGTTCTCTGACATCACACTACTAGTATTCTTATCGTGTATCAAACTTTTATGAGTCAAACTTTTCGATGTGACAAAGTCCAGGATTGTTCCCTGATATAACACTACTAGTATTCTTATCGTGTATCAAAACTTTCACGAGTCAAATTTCTCGCTGTTTCGAAGTAAAATCAAGGCCCAAACGTTATAAAAACATTGAAAATTAAAACTTATAAATCAAGTAAAATGTTCATCTGTTCCAAAACATTAAAATGACCCGTGGTAATTTTAACAGTACAAGCATCAGAAATTTCATTGACAAAGAAATATTGAATTTGGTAAGAAATCCAATATTTATATTTAAAATCAAATGTCTTAGCTTGTGTTTCGTCACATTTTTAAAGAATCATCTTCTGTCTTATTTACAGGATATCGATGTTCAATATTCGTTAGTCAAAGTCCCGATGTTTAAAAAAAATTCCAGATGGTCCTGTAAAGTTCTAAACATCAACGTTTGACTGTATTTAAATTTCAGCTTAACAGAATAACTGCTATTCATAAATCCACCAATACATGTACTAAAACTACCTTAGAAATAGGTCCATAAATCTGTTTAAATATCCTTATTTATAAATACCAGGTTTTTTTTGATTGGCCTTACCAATTAAGTATTGCAAACTTATTTTACGGAATGCAACAGTATAGCTTAAATTCCTTATTCATATTTGCCAGGTATTTTTTTTTTGCTTGGCCTTGCCAATTAAGCATTGCAAACTTACTCACAGAACGCAATAGTGGATACAATTTCTTATTATTATTTACCGTATTTGTAAGCACTGCAAGCGAATTTGACAGAAGGCGATAGTAGCTTGATGTTGGTATTTCCCCACTTTGTTTGCCTTACCTGTCTTGCTCATTGTGACTACTATTGGTCCCCCCTTTTATCACCGCCATCCTCTCCTTGGACGGCTGAATTATTCCCTCATTGATGAGCTCCTGATATCTCTGACCTCGATTACGTCTTTTGGACTTCCGAACTGGATGCATTCCATCCTCTGTCACCTCTCCCTCCCCAAACTCCTGGTCCAGTGATGCTGGTTGTAACTCGATGTTCTCCTCTGCACCATTGTCCTTCAGAATTCGATGTAGCTTCCTATGGTCTGCATAGATATCAACACTCGTCTCTGAGTAGCAACGCTTTCGCCCACCGTAATTTTCTCCCCGTACCAACTCATCATTCACGTTGTACTTGGTGGATTTATTCATCAGGAACGAAGCAAGACCAGGTATGTGTTGGGCACCAATAGATGAACCTTTTGGCCTAGTCCCTGATAAGCCAGTCACATCAGCAGGACTAGATGTTACGAGCCCGGGGACCTCAGTCTTGCTTGATCCCGTATCCCTGTTACCTACATTGTTACTGGGCCGTGACTGAACACCAGACCCTGTGTATAACTTATCTATCAGGTTTTCCACCATGACCTTTCCTGAGGTCCTATTGTCAACTCCGTCCTCACACTTACCCACCATTTTATCACCACTGGAGTCTAATCCACCCTTACTTTCCCTATCACTGTTGTTACTCCAGCCTTTCTCGCTGTCATTTGATTCCCCTGAACCATTAAAGCTTCTCACTTCCTCCATGTCAATACAATTTTCTTCTTTTGTGGTCAAGTCAAGGATCTTGTTACTATGGTCAACTATGTTTCCATGGTGATCTGACATCAACTGGTCATCACTGAGCTCGGAGCTGCACATCTAAAACAGTCCAATAAGCACATACATGTATATATTGTAGTGATTGACTTCTTGAAGTGTGTGGTGTTTGTCTTGACACACCAGGTGCTTAGCCAATAAAGATCCTTGTTATGTTTAAGTGTTTGATAGCCTCCCTTTTCACACAGTTAAGTGTTTGATAGCCTCCTTTTTCACACAGTTATGTTTCAGAAAACTTTCTGATTATCACAAAGTATTAAGTTTATTTTGTGTAAAAAAAGGTCTATAGTTAAAGTAAGATTCATCATATAAAGAAAACACCGATAAATTGTGGCTAAAACTCAACAAATTATGACTTATAAGCAAACTAATTAATATAGGCGTGTAAGCAGCTGCAAATTCCTACTCTGTTATACCATATTAGCGGCAATAGGTTGTTAGACATTGGTAAATTATGAGTTAAAGTTATATTTTTAAGACATCCTTATTAAAGCAGGCACCCTTTTAACATAAAATACAGTATCCCTCCAACAGCCACAAAATAAAAATTGCAACAAATTTTTCCCAAAAAGTATTACTCTTGCTTTAAATCATTAATATTACCAAATAAATTGAAAAGTTACCATAGCCAGATCCATGAGTGACGTGACAGAGGCCTGAGGAGTTCCTGTCGTGGCGGACTTCGCAGCAGAAGTCAGTTTATGACTGTCACTGTAAGGTGGTTTGTCCACGAGAAGGTTACTCAGACCACCCATGTTACTAGGATCTGGAATAAAAATTGATGCAGTGTCAGTTTTAGACATGAGTCATATAATTGTGACTTGCTATTTTAAAATCCATACACTCAAACAAGTTTTTCATTCATTAGACAACAGGCCAAATAAAGTGTTTCAACTCTGACTTCAGTCAAGATCTGTTTTATTTCGCTTTTCCTTAATACAGGACTGGTTCATTTCATACCAGAACAGTCAGGCTATGTGTGCTGGTCAGTAGCATATGATGCTGAGACAAACTTCAGTATACCAGAACAGTCAGCATCTGTGTGCTGGTCAGTAGCATATGATACTGAGGCAAACTTCAGTATACCAGAACAGTCAGGCTATGTGTGCTGGTCAGTAGCATATGATGCTGAGGCAAACTTCAATATACCAGAACAGTCAGGCTCTGGTTCGTAGCATATGATGCTGATACAAACTTCAGTATCCCAGAACAGTCAGGCTCTGGTCAGTAGCATATGATGCTGAGACAAACGTCAGTATACCAGAACAGTCAGGCTATGTGTGCTGGTCAGTAACATATAATACTGAGACAAACTTCAGTATACCAGAACAGTCAGGCTCTGGTCAGTAGCATATGATGCTGAGACAAACTTCAGTATACTAGAACAGTCAGCCTCTGTGTGCTGGTCAGTAGCATATGATGCCGAGACAAACTTCAGTATACCAGAACAGTCAGGCTCTGTGTGCTGGTCAGTAGCATATGATGCTGAGGCAAACTTCAGTATACCAGAACAGTCAGGCTCTGTGCGCTGGTCAGTAGCATATGATGCTGAGACAAACTTCAGTATACTAGAACAGTCAGCCTCTGTGTGCTGGTCAGAAGCATATGTTGCTGAGACAAACTTCAGTATACCAGAACAGTCAGCCTCTGTGTGCTGGTCAGTAGCATATGATGCCGAGACAAACTTCAGTATACCAGAACAGTCAGGCTCTGTGTGCTGGTCAGTAGCATATGATGCTGAGACAAACTTCAGTATACCAGAACAGTCAGGCTCTGTGTGCTGGTCAGTAGCATATGATGCTGAGACAAACTTCAGTATACCAGAACAGTCAGGCTCTGTGTGCTGGTCAGATGCATATGATGCTGAGACAAACCTCAGTATACCAGAACAGTCAGCCTCTGTGTGCTGGTCAGAAGCATATGATGCTGAGACAAACTTCAGTAACAATGACAATTTTTTTTTCTAAAATGCTGCTACTGTAACACAATTTAACATATCATGACAAGTGGCAAGAGAAGATGCAGAACACACTTGCTACTTTCACTTTACACTGCAATTACATTATAGATTGTTCAATTCAAGGATTATCTAAATTTACTTTTAATTTAAACGTCACTTAATTTACCTGCTAGTTTTCCTGGTGTAATGGATCCCTCCAAGGAGAGCTCACTCTCATCTCTGCCCAAGCGTATGTTTGAGGGGCGGGTTAGTGGCTTGCCAGTCGGACAGTGAGTAAGTCTGTCAGGGTTGTGCCACTTGTAGTCTGGGTTTGCCTTCATAAATGCATCCTTATACTGAACAACAAAACCAAAAATCTTAGACACATGACACAAATTTCAAAATTATTTTTCCTTCATTTTTATTTATTATTGTTTTTAAAATTGGCTTAGTTTTCTGTCAAACCTATTTTAACAGTAATTACATCCTTTCTGACCTCTGTACAATGTAATACCTTTGTCAAAACACATCAATGATACTAAATCAGCCTTGATAACCCCTTTATACAAATTACGAATGCTTAGTAGAATTTTATATATGGGTTTTATCCCCTGACCAAGATGAACAAAGTCTTTAAAAATTGGTACGTTTAAATAAATAGAGGTAATATAAGGACAGGTTTACCCATTATCAGTATAATGTGACCGGGTGGAGTACTGTGCTTGGTGATATGGTATTCTAGTGACCACATGTACCACCTCCAGCACACACACCTACATTACACATCACTATATATAGATAATATCCTGAAATGGTGTACTTTAACTGTTAATAGGACTAGTGACCACATGTACCACCTCCAGCACACACACCTACATTACACATCACTATATAGATATATCCTGAAATGGTGTACTTTAACTGTTAATAGGACTAGTGACCACATGTACCACCTCCAGCACACACACATATACATTACACATCACTATATAGATATATCCTGAAATGGTGTACTTTAACTGTTAATAGGACTAGTGACCACATGTACCACCTCCAGCACACACACACGTACATTACACATCACTATATAGATATATCCTGAAATGGTGTACTTTAACTGTTAATAGGACTAGTGACCACATGTACCACCTCCAGCACACACACACGTACATTACACATCACTATATAGATATATCCTGAAATGGTGTACTTTAACTGTTAATAGGACTAGTGACCACATGTACCACCTCCAGCACACACACATGTACATTACACATCACTATATAGATATATCCTGAAATGGTGTACTTTAACTGTTAATAGGACTAGTGACCACATGTACCACCTCCAGCACACACACATGTACATTACACATCACTATATAGATATATCCTGAAATGGTGTACTTTAACTGTTAATAGGACTAGTGACCACATGTACCACCTCCAGCACACACACACGTACATTACACATCACTATATAGATATATCCTGAAATGGTGTACTTTAACTGTTAATAGGACTAGTGACCACATGTACCACCTCCAGCACACACACATGTACATTACACATCACTATATAGATATATCCTGAAATGGTGTACTTTAACTGTTAATAGGACTAGTGACCACATGTACCACCTCCAGCACACACACATGTACATTACACATCACTATATAGATATATCCTGAAATGGTGTACTTTAACTGTTAATAGGACTAGTGACCACATGTACCACCTCCAGCACACACACACGTACATTACACATCACTATATAGATATATCCTGAAATGGTGTACTTTAACTGTTAATAGGACTAGTGACCACATGTACCACCTCCAGCACACACACATGTACATTACACATCACTATATAGATATATCCTGAAATGGTGTACTTTAACTGTTAATAGGACTAGTGACCACATGTACCACCTCCAGCACACACACATGTACATTACACATCACTATATAGATATATCCTGAAATGGTGTACTTTAACTGTTAATAGGACTAGTGACCACATGTACCACCTCCAGCACACACACACGTACATTACACATCACTATATAGATATATCCTGAAATGGTGTACTTTAACTGTTAATAGGACTAGTGACCACATGTACCACCTCCAGCACACACACATGTACATTACACATCACTATATAGATATATCCTGAAATGGTGTACTTTAACTGTTAATAGGACTAGTGACCACATGTACCACCTCCAGCACACACACATGTACATTACACATCACTATATAGATATATCCTGAAATGGTGTACTTTAACTGTTAATAGGACTAGTGACCACATGTACCACCTCCAGCACACACACACGTACATTACACATCACTATATAGATATATCCTGAAATGGTGTACTTTAACTGTTAATAGGACTAGTGACCACATGTACCACCTCCAGCACACACACATGTACATTACACATCACTATATAGATATATCCTGAAATGGTGTACTTTAACTGTTAATAGGACTAGTGACCACATGTACCACCTCCAGCACACACACATGTACATTACACATCACTATATAGATATATCCTGAAATGGTGTACTTTAACTGTTAATAGGACTAGTGACCACATGTACCACCTCCAGCACACACACACGTACATTACACATCACTATATAGATATATCCTGAAATGGTGTACTTTAACTGTTAATAGGACTAGTGACCACATGTACCACCTCCAGCACACACACACGTACATTACACATCACTATATAGATATATCCTGAAATGGTGTACTTTAACTGTTAATAGGACTAGTGACCACATGTACCACCTCCAGCACACACACATGTACATTACACATCACTATATAGATATATCCTGAAATGGTGTACTTTAACTGTTAATAGGACTAGTGACCACATGTACCACCTCCAGCACACACACATGTACATTACACATCACTATATAGATATATCCTGAAATGGTGTACTTTAACTGTTAATAGGACTAGTGACCACATGTACCACCTCCAGCACACACACACGTACATTACACATCACTATATAGATATATCCTGAAATGGTGTACTTTAACTGTTAATAGGACTAGTGACCACATGTACCACCTCCAGCACACACACATGTACATTACACATCACTATATAGATATATCCTGAAATGGTGTACTTTAACTGTTAATAGGACTAGTGACCACATGTACCACCTCCAGCACACACACATGTACATTACACATCACTATATAGATATATCCTGAAATGGTGTACTTTAACTGTTAATAGGACTAGTGACCACATGTACCACCTCCAGCACACACACACGTACATTACACATCACTATATAGATATATCCTGAAATGGTGTACTTTAACTGTTAATAGGACTAGTGACCACATGTACCACCTCCAGCACACACACACGTACATTACACATCACTATATAGATATATCCTGAAATGGTGTACTTTAACTGTTAATAGGACTAGTGACCACATGTACCACCTCCAGCACACACACATGTACATTACACATCACTATATAGATATATCCTGAAATGGTGTACTTTAACTGTTAATAGGACTAGTGACCACATGTACCACCTCCAGCACACACACATGTACATTACACATCACTATATAGATATATCCTGAAATGGTGTACTTTAACTGTTAATAGGACTAGTGACCACATGTACCACCTCCAGCACACACACACGTACATTACACATCACTATATAGATATATCCTGAAATGGTGTACTTTAACTGTTAATAGGACTAGTGACCACATGTACCACCTCCAGCACACACACACGTACATTACACATCACTATATAGATATATCCTGAAATGGTGTACTTTAACTGTTAATAGGACTAGTGACCACATGTACCACCTCCAGCACACACACATGTACATTACACATCACTATATAGATATATCCTGAAATGGTGTACTTTAACTGTTAATAGGACTAGTGACCACATGTACCACCTCCAGCACACACACACGTACATTACACATCACTATATAGATATATCCTGAAATGGTGTACTTTAACTGTTAATAGGACTAGTGACCACATGTACCACCTCCAGCACACACACACGTACATTACACATCACTATATAGATATATCCTGAAATGGTGTACTTTAACTGTTAATAGGACTAGTGACCACATGTACCACCTCCAGCACACACACATGTACATTACACATCACTATATAGATATATCCTGAAATGGTGTACTTTAACTGTTAATAGGACTAGTGACCACATGTACCACCTCCAGCACACACACATGTACATTACACATCACTATATAGATATATCCTGAAATGGTGTACTTTAACTGTTAATAGGACTAGTGACCACATGTACCACCTCCAGCACACACACACGTACATTACACATCACTATATAGATATATCCTGAAATGGTGTACTTTAACTGTTAATAGGACTAGTGACCACATGTACCACCTCCAGCACACACACACGTACATTACACATCACTATATAGATATATCCTGAAATGGTGTACTTTAACTGTTAATAGGACTAGTGACCACATGTACCACCTCCAGCACACACACATGTACATTACACATCACTATATAGATATATCCTGAAATGGTGTACTTTAACTGTTAATAGGACTAGTGACCACATGTACCACCTCCAGCACACACACATGTACATTACACATCACTATATAGATATATCCTGAAATGGTGTACTTTAACTGTTAATAGGACTAGTGACCACATGTACCACCTCCAGCACACACACACGTACATTACACATCACTATATAGATATATCCTGAAATGGTGTACTTTAACTGTTAATAGGACTAGTGACCACATGTACCACCTCCAGCACACACACACGTACATTACACATCACTATATAGATATATCCTGAAATGGTGTACTTTAACTGTTAATAGGACTAGTGACCACATGTACCACCTCCAGCACACACACATGTACATTACACATCACTATATAGATATATCCTGAAATGGTGTACTTTAACTGTTAATAGGACTAGTGACCACATGTACCACCTCCAGCACACACACACGTACATTACACATCACTATATAGATATATCCTGAAATGGTGTACTTTAACTGTTAATAGGACTAGTGACCACATGTACCACCTCCAGCACACACACACGTACATTACACATCACTATATAGATATATCCTGAAATGGTGTACTTTAACTGTTAATAGGACTAGTGACCACATGTACCACCTCCAGCACACACACATGTACATTACACATCACTATATAGATATATCCTGAAATGGTGTACTTTAACTGTTAATAGGACTAGTGACCACATGTACCACCTCCAGCACACACACATGTACATTACACATCACTATATAGATATATCCTGAAATGGTGTACTTTAACTGTTAATAGGACTAGTGACCACATGTACCACCTCCAGCACACACACGTACATTACACATCGCTATATAGATATATCCTGAAATGGTGTACTTTAACTGTTAATAGGACTCTTATCCAATAAACCAAATTCAAGCCAAACCACCAATATTGTGTTGCAGGGGTGGGATGGGTGAAGGGTGGGGGATCTGTTGTTGTTCAGTGTATGTGTTATGTATGAGAGATGGTCCGGAGGTGTACAGGTTAATTATGTGAGGGCGTCACCTGTCCTCTGCTGTCATGTCCTGTACACATGTTCCAATCCCGAGATGATTCCTAGCATCGTTCCATGCTTTTTCGATGTCAGCAACTTTTTGTTTTCCGAGAGTGCTGTTTTGACTGGGCAGTAGCTATATAGTACCTATGTTGAATTTCTGGGCAGCAGTTGCCATGTTGAATTTCTGGGCAGTAGTTGCCATGTTGAATTTCTGGGCATTAGTACCTATGTTGAATTTCTTGGCAGTAGTACCTATGTTGAATTTCTGGGCGGTAGTTGCTATGTTAAACATACTCTTTAGATACATTCTAGATGGGCGTTAACTTATATTTTAGGGCAGACTGAGGAATTGAATTTCTGATCTGTCTGCCATAGCTTTTGCTACTCTGCATGTTAAAGTAATGTATGGGTATTTCTAAATGTGTATTTGAGTTGAGAAGGACAGGATGGGAGCTTTAGGTTGTTGTAATAATCAGCAATACATAGTAGAAGGTAGACTTATGTTTTCGAGGGAAAGGGGGGTTTGTTGTCCCAAAAGGCAGTTTGGTCCATGTGCATGTAGGCCAGCTGTGGCACTGTCATGTTTTTGTATTTATTTCCGTTTCCGTTAATAAATATTGTAAACTTGTTAATTTCCAGTTTGTTTTCCCTTCAACAACATACATTTTACCCATCAAACCTGGGTTGTGGTCTATGGGACGAGCCACTATAGTTATAGCCATGAACAAATTGGGCCCCATAGCAAGTGAAAAGTCTAAGCACCATGACTACAGCAAGTGCTCACCTGTTTAGCCAGGTCTGTGTACTGAGACTTCTCCTCCTCCTGAAGGTTCGCCCACAGGTCGCCAAGGATCCGTGTCACACTCCGGTTGTCAAGGTGAGGATTCTTTTCACGTACCATTGTACGATGCCGTTTACAGAAAATGAGGAACGCATTCATCGGCCGCCGAACCTCCTTCCTGTCACCCTCTGGAGCCTCCATCTCACTCCCCTATAATACAATTTGTGTTTTAATAAGGTTTACACAAGTGTTTTGTTGGTTTCAAATTTATTATTTCCATGATTATTTCAACATAATTAGTTAATTATAAATGGCCAACATTAAAAGTTTTTGTCTAGATATGTTAACAGCCACAAATGGTGGTTGAAAGCATTCTTCAATGAACCGAATGTAGTGGGGACTTATTATATATCAATGTAAGATTTGTTCATAAACTTACTGCTGAATTAATTATTAATATTAAAAACCAACTTTCATATTTTACAGCGTTTTTGAGTTCTTAGTGCCGCCACACCAGTCAATAGGAAATGGGGGATTGAGTTGTCCAAGATATTTCTTTGAAAGGATTATGGAACCTTAGTTATTTTTGAAAAGTCATCATGATTTACTCTTTTTCAGGATGCTGTATCTGGTAATACTGATAATATTTGGGGCTCTAGGGAGATGGAGGTGGGGACGTAATACACCAAATTACTCCCGGGATCGTAATGCTATCTCAATAAAATCAGTGACAAATACCCCCACTTATAAATGAAGGACAAAACCCACCAGTGTTTCCTTGTCTAAAGAATGGATGAGGGTCCAAAAGAGTCTAACACGTGGATCGAAGATGTCTTGGGAGAGCGGTGGTTCTCGGAATCGTTCCTGGCATACTGATACATTACAATTGAACTTCCGTCACTACTCGAGAAAATATCTACTGCTTTGCAGCCTATACATGTATACTTGTCTCTGCTTTGCGATTGAACTTGACAATAGTTTATATTAATTATGTAAATAAAGATAAGAAAGATATATGTACCATTATTCATCTGCAGATTTGCAAATATATATCGCAATAGGCTCCCGCTGTTCCGTATCAACGACTTGACTGTTTGCCATGTTTTTTGCCGATGTCGTTTTATAGATATTTCGAACTACTAATTATTTTAATGACTATTATTTTGTGTAATTTGAACAGGTTTGATAATATTTATTTAATTTTGTTTTATCTGACCAGAGGTACTGTGCTTCCACCGGGGGATCAAACCTATTCGGACGCTTTACCACTGAGCTAAAGGGGGAAACTCCCTCTAGGTTGAAGCTAGAAGGCGACTGTAATCCCATGTACAATCTAAAATCTGCCACACAGACATTCAGAATATGTCTGAAACTCCATTAAACTCAATTTAAGGGGATATATACACAATTCTGGACCTTCCGACATTTCCAGATCTGCCAGTTAAACTTCATGTGTTTGGATGTTAGGGTTTAAAAGAGTACAGATTAGACCTACTATCTGCGGTAACAGGGTCACCTGTTCCAACCAATTTTTAAAACTTTCCTGAATTTGTCATATCATTTGCTTTTTAATTTAAATTTCGAAATTTCACAGTATCATATATATATATATGCGAGCAGTACTTATTACTTTATGCTCAACAATGTGAGATTTGAGATGTGAATACTTCAAATTCCTTCCTGGACAAAAATGCTGCAAAAAAATGTTCACTCTCTTTATCCCTAATTTGAGTAATGGAATGAAGGAGATCTCCCTCATCAAAGGCTCCAGAGGGCAACACCTATACTAATTTTAAAACTGTTCTACTATTATGTTATAAGAAATGTAAAAAATATGATATTGAAAGTTTTTAACACATAAAATTTTGACCAAAAAAATGACCCATAGTGACCAAAATATTACCTTATGTGACCAAAAATACCTGCAATAGGTATACTGGCTTGTTTCAGAGTGTTATACAGTTATCTCCCCTGTCACACACTCCTTCATCTGCCATTTAACCTATATCACGGAATTAGATTATCTAAGTCCGTGCCTATATATGTTTGAACAATGATCTGAGACGGCATTGGTATCGCATCAACTTGTACAGTCCAATCCTTTTGTAACTGAAACTTGTCTGGCTATATGCATGGTGCTCGATTTTAGTCTTTTAGTCAGTTAGTTTGAAGTTGACACTACTCACTTTCCCGTTGCATTTTAAATATAAATCTGTACGTCAGATTTGATTTCAGAGTTAACATGTTGCCAGTATGAAGAAATGATGCTGTTTTTAATTATTTTTCAATTTATGCTTCAATAGCAGCACATTATATTTGCAGGCATGTTTAGGCCTACTTTACATTAACTGCAGCCATTTTAAGGTTCAGGTGAAATTTGAATTTTACTTTAAATGTCAATGTACATATACTCTTAAATCAAGATCTGTCAATATTTTAAAATCAATTATCATACACATTCATGTATTGAATTGATACTACTAATGTGTGTGATCAAACCCTTCATAAAACATTTGTGCAACTTAATGTCAAAATCGAACACAATCCCCCTTTTGGGGCCCCTATGTTAGAGCCAACATTTAAAATTTAACCGAGATATGCCATGTTTTTAACAAAGATTTCACCGTGACAACCCGTGTATTAATAACGTTTATTTCATGACATCGAAAACAATTATATTTCGAGATTGAAATCGACTTCAGTGGTCACGTTTGGTCTAGTATCCGGGAACCGATGAATGGTTGCACCGACTTTCAACAAAGCCACGCACTTAAAATTTTAACGGGGTCACATGTTCAGTTGGGTTACCCATTTAAAACCCAAAATAAAGTATGAAACTGAATTCAAGTCACAAAATTTATAATTGACAATTGTCCATTACATTTCCACGACCAGAAATGTATTGTTTTTAACAGTTGTCGCGTTTACTGATGGCATATTAGAGCCAATGTTTTCATTCCGTAGCTCTGCGTCGTGAGCTAAAAATCGGTAATGGCGACCAGCGGCCGGGAAAGCAGCCACGTGCTGAAAACTGTCTCGTGAAATACAGAGAAATAGCAGTTTCTAGATCGTCATACATGACTGTAAACTTAGAAAGCTGGATACTATAAATCATTTTACAGTCATCAAAAGTGTAGTCAGTGGTTATATAAATCTAGAAATGACAAAATGTGCCGACCTAATTATAAATTCGAAGGGCGCAGGCTCGAACAGACATGGCTGCCGTGTTGGGCCCAACAATCAACGAGGGCCGACCATGCGGTTCACGACATCGATACACAAGGAGTGAATGGCCGATCTAAGGCGGCCAATAGTTTTCATGTGCCCTGTACTTACCGAATCCGCACTTATTAGAAACTACTCCAGTTGATTTGTCGCCTTTCGGCTACCAGGATGCCATCCGGACCTCCAAAAGTAAACAAGCCTTGCTAGCTCCTCAAATGTAGGTCAAGGTTGGTAAACGTCAATTTTGTCGCTATCAACAGCAAAAAAATGGACAATTGAGGAAGGAAATTGCTCACATGACCCTGACCAACTGACAAGTCTATTAAGTTTACGTAAGGCATATTACCGTGTCCATTGGTTAGTTTTATATGTTTATAATCATGTAAAAAAAATGATAACAAAAAATTACACCTTTTCAAATTGGGACTATAGAAAGTCTATAATAATTTAACCGAGTTTTTGTAGGATGCGCGCAAGCGTAATTTATGTTTATTTTATTGTACTTTACAGTGTCGGACACGTGAAATCGATAAGAATTTATTATTCAGATAGATGAAATTTAAATTAAGGCAGAGGTAGCCCGAGTTTAAAATGCATCTGGCCCTGTCGGCACCAGACTTAAGACATTTTGACAGATAGACGTCTAAGTCTGGTGTCGGGCTAGAACAGAATTTGCTAAATGACATGTTTTAAAGTGGTTCTACCTTGATTGAGTATATAACATGAACAATGTCCCATTGCAGTCAATAAACAAATTAAAGCTACGTACGATATTCAGGAAATCGTAAAATGTATCGTCAGTTACAGGGGCGGTACAGGAATTTATTTAAGGTGTTGTCCCTACTTAAAAAATAACTTGATTCAAACACATTTTTTGCGCATAGTAATTAGCATAAAGGCTCTATCCTATTTTCTGTCATCATATTAAATGGATTAATTAATCGCGTATATATGCCGCTGATTGTAGGGGAGACTGAGGCATGTTCGGCCCATGCAATATATAAAGGGTCGTGAAGTTGTCGGGAAAACCTGATGTCGCATGCTTTATGACATCATAATTATGCTTATTCCAATTAACGTGGGCCGAACTTACCCCAAAGTCAAGCCATCCAATCTCAGGACAGAAAAAAAATATGAAAAATTCCTCAAATGTGGACATGGTGTACATACATTTCAACAAATGCAATATCCCAGAACGACTTTAATCAAAATTGACCGAATTTGTCCCCGCAATCTCCCCTAACCAGATTTGTTTTATTACATACTTTCGCCGAAAGAAAACTTATCAAGATACGGAGTTGACACTCGTGTTCGATTGACTGTGGCATCAGATTCAATCGGAGCTCCAAGTACACGATATGTGATCTAGAGGTGATGCTCAGAGTTGTGGGGAGAAGGGTTGTTTCAATGTTTGTGGTTTGTTTGTATATGCATATATACATGCCTAAATTATTTGATATCATTACTCAAAATATCGTAAGTGAAGACTATTTTTTATTCTTAAACTTATCCATTTAATTACACTCAGATTCAAACAAGCATGTTCCTGTTATATTTGCTTGCTGTATAAAATAATAACTTCAAATTACAGATTTCGGCAACAAACCATATATTTCCTATTTTATCCCACATTCCACTATCAAAACAATCAGTACAGTGATCATCACTATATTTTGATTGATATTCATTATACTGAATGCACTGCTGACTTATCACCCTGAAATCATCCTCGATATTCAGGGTCTCAATGTGACCGGACACAGAAAGCCAATGCAATGTCTGTACATCCTCGGTAGCCAGGGATTACGCTAACTTTCGCTCTCTACACCCCTGGAAGATGTCATAGCAAAATTGAAGGCACAAAGACAGCTGTTTGATTGGTCTCAGGTAAAAAAAAATCACTGACTAACCGCTAGGCTCATACCTGTCCTTTGAAGATTATAAAGGAGGGACGCCCGACTTCAAAACCTGTCAACTTTTACCATTACGTGATTGCGAGATTATTTTGATGTACATTAAAGGATTGAACTAGTTTTCTCGTCTCGTCCACAAGGTGGTCACCGAGCCTTCAATTTTGCTATGACATATATATTCCAGGGGTGTAGAGAGCGAAAGTGAGCGTAACCCCTGGATACCGAGGATGCCCTGAAATCATCCCAAACAATTGCATCAATGCAGGAGAAACTAGTGACGTGCTAGTCCGATGTTTGGTGATGCTTCATGTGCCTGCACAGACACTGAGGACATTGAACTATGTAGTATCAATTGAATAATTTGTTTAAATTCCCCTTTTAGGATAAATTAAACATTTAATACATCTGATATGCTTAATATTGTACCTTATTCACTAACAAAATGCATGCTTTAGTAAAATTCTATGATACTAGAAAACAACATATCATAATCACAATTATGACTCTTAATGATCGTTTACACTTAAAATCACAGATGAAAATATAATTACAGGTAAAAATGAGAACAGACTTAAACCTTCATCTATCAGCCAGTATAGGGACAGCCCGACTCCCCTCTGGCAGAACTTCAGTACAGGTAGCGCATTGATAACCAGTTAGAGTCAGATAAAACAAAGACCAGGTGATCAATTAATTTCCTTTATTCCTCCGATGAGAGATTTTAATTACAAAATACAAAATACAATGTTCTACTTTTCGTAGAACTATTCAGGCATCAGCTGTGTCTATAATAATGTCCTTGTGTTGGTGATTTAATCCACTTGTAGGATTGTGTGTATCCACAGAATCAGAAAGGAAAAACGATTATATAAGATAGTAACTTTCTTAAGGAATTGAACACTGTTCATCAAAAATGAATGATATATGAATTTATCTACAATATTTTTCATGATATGAGGCGGTAGTGGTTTCCACAATAACACACTTAGAAATTCCTCGTGCCGCAGATTATCGAAACACTGCATCAAGGAAGTCTCATCCAATTTGGTGGACATGATAGAATTTTACAAATAAATTTGACATCAACAAGCTCTGTTAGTGTAGTCGGTACGGCCCATAGTATATATATATGGGGCTGAGTATCCTTGGTCATGTATGTCTTTTAAGCGAATAAAATCGATATCTGCTTGTAACCTTTGATGAAGTAGTTCGTTCTCGTTGCTGATTATTGCGTTTTTAACTATGCGTTTCCACTGTGGTAGTTTTGTTGGGAAACTTAAGCTATCCAAATACTTGCATACATTTGTATGTATATCATATTTCCTGAGTACGGTAACTTTATCGGGTATGAAGTCAAGTCGGGATTCTGTTTTCTGCTGGAATTGGTATAGGCGCTTCAAGAATATCCGTTTTACAACAGCATACTTAAAATATGTGTATATTTTTAGTTTCTTTCAGGGATAGATTTGACCAAAACTCTGATCCCTAGAGTACACTTGGTATTAAATCTTTCCAGTATAGCTCTGCTGTATTCAGGGGATTCATACATTTACAATATCCCCCGAATTTAGTTCTGATGTTAAAAGCGTTCCGACCTTTGTGCATCCATAAGTTACGGCCATAGTACTTTTAGATCGGTAGATATTGTTATGCCAACATGTTTATAGATTCGGCAATCGCAAGCGTCTTGTTCATAATCTTCCAATCAAACTCGATATGTTTATTTCCTCCTTGTCCAATTTAACTAGAAAGTCACATTTGAAATGGAGGAAAATCTTCGAATATATTTGGATCAGATTAACTTTGGCCACAGAAAAAAAGGTGTTGCCCGAGCAACTAGGGCAAAACCCCTGCATTTGCCTCTGAGTTAAATATTCGATAAATTACGGAAGCGAATGACTTCGAATTCAATGAAAGTGCTAACTTTTGTATGCACTGATTTATATAGGAGGATTCCATGTCAGGCCCAACGGACCTGTATCGATCGCTCAACTGTTATTCAATGTTGTGGGCAAACACCTTTCAGATCGAGTTTAAATAAACAGTAAAGCAAGCATAAACAAGAAAAAGCTATATAATATTCAAGATGGGTTCCATATATTATTATAAACTTAATTTACTTTGCAATAATTATGAAATAAGTTTTCTAAATTATATTAATCACTCTTGTTTGCTCGGATGTAAGCACGCATTGGTTTTTAATTGTTTAAAAAACAAATCGCAAACTACAGTAGATTTATCCCCATTCTAATTCATATAAGGTAAAATCACCGACAGAAAAGAAGCATTAGGATGTTTTTATGCGTTTTCTTAAAAAAACTGTATCTCTCTGCCGTGGATTTGTGACGTCAGGAACATTCATAATACCATTTCATCCTTAGTCCCTGAATCATAAAATGTAGGTCAATTTGTTATATATTAACCATGTAACACTTAGAAGCTACTGTACTCAGTATGGAGTGAGCAGATTTTCACAATATGACACAAATGGTCCAATCAATATTAAGGAAGGCACTGCGGCATAAAACGTAGGTTAAATTCGGTATTATACATTTAGTATTATAATATTTAGTATAACATATATAAGTATTATGGTTAAATATAGTAATATAAATGCCTTGTAAGATCGCAGCTGGACTATGCTGGTACTGGTGAGCACCACACATACATATATAGAGGTCACAGAAGAGCAACTAATTGTCTCCCGGGAATGAGGGACCTAACCAACAGTGAGAGGTTGGAGTTACGAAAGCTGCCAACACTGGCCTTCAGGAGAATGAGCGGAGATATGGTTGAACTGTACAAAATATAACAAGTGAAATTTATGATAAAGAAAGTTTTAATCCTGTTATACTATGGAAAGCTGCCGCTGATCGTTACAGTGGCAGAGGACACACCAAAAACATATTCACCAAGCGATCAATAAATATGCTCAGAATAAAAACCTTTTCAATCAGAATAGTGACAATTTGGAATGAACTGCCAGGACATGTCGTATTAGCACTAAATTAGCTAGACAATCAGTGAAAAAAAAATCAAAAAACGTTCCTTTAATTACAAAGCAACAATCTAATCATGACATGAATGTGCATGCATACCAGTGAGAAATTTGACAAATGCAGTTCATTGATTTATTTCAGAGTCTGGTATAGAGGACTTCAACAGTCCTAAACCAGACTCGAAGTTATCCGCAACTTGCGTCCAATAATAATCCTTGCTGCGTCATTGATGCTATTATCCATAACACGTACAGTTACCCAGATATGCACTTGACAATTTTTCGTCGTGTATCCTCAAATTTAACAGTTTCCACTTCCTTACGTTCTCTGCACCACTGGGATATATCAGGATAAACGAGGGTACGCGATTGGCTATTTGAATGGTTGATAATTTCTCTTCACGT